AAACGAAGATTGATTGATTGATCCATCCTCTACTACCACCAATTAAAACTACAACACACAACCTTCGTCAGCGCAAGCATAACTATCAAGTCGCCACCCAATCTACATACCAAGAAAAGACTTTCATCAAAAAAAAACACCTCAAAAATATTATTACTCATTAAAACTTTATCATTCACAGAACTAGTTTTTATTTATCGATCACCTCATTAACTCACTAAGTCATCATCTAGTTTATTAATTTGCATTTTTATGCCATTACTTCATTTTATATTTTATTGCCAAGTTTTTTTCTTTTTTTTATTTAATTATTATTATTTATTTTATTCTATTTTATTTTATTTTTCATGTTTAAACATTTTTTTTCACAGTTTTTGTATTTATTTATTTACTTATTTGTTTAACTTTGTACTACTGCCTTGCATACTGTAACAGTTTCTGGTTCTGTAAGATCCTGATTTTTAAAGAATAAAAAAAATCTGTCGGCCAAATTGATTAGACAGGAGCCAATCGTTGATTCTCATAACACAAGTAACGATTTTTAATGAGATCAATTTCTCTTTGTCAAGCTGGCCAGCACAATATATTTGAACGTTATTAGTGTACATGTGCATCGAAACCCCTAGATCGTGAACCATATCATGCAAACCAGATACATATACCAAAAACGGAAGGTTGTCCAGAACTGATCCCTTACGCACCCCTTATATGTTGCCGAAACATAACCAACGACAACCAAACTGGAACAACAACTTGCATATAAAAACCGATACAAAAACCGATATAAAAATGCTCCGATGGATGCAACGAATTAGCCTGAAGGACCACATCAAATCTACCGAAATCCTGCGTAGTGCTGGTTTAGATGATATAAAGGACGAATGCCGGCAACACCGTTTGCGGTGGTTTGGTCATGTCAAACGATGTGGAAACAGTGCCATAACTTCTCTTGCAGATGTTGAAGTACCTGGCACACGTCCCAAAGGCCGTCCAAAAAAGTTCGGGTCGCAAACAATCGAGCAAAACATGAAAGCCCTAAATTTAAATGAAATGGATACAACTGATCGTCTAATTTGGCGCAAAAAATTGATGGCAAAGAAATCAACGTCCGACCTCGGGGAACTGGGTCTCTGGACGCTTAACGAAAATTGATTGATTGATTGATCCGAAACTGAAATATGATATATGATTTCCAAAATGAAAAAGCAAAAGGTTCTTTCTAAAAAAAACAAGACATCCAAAATTAAATTTTCAAAGAATATAAATATTTTATAATATGTGTTATCAAAGTAAACTTTACATTAAAAACAAAAATTCTCAAAACTTGAAATCTACTTTAAATACGGTAAAGCGTTATTACATGGTTACAAGAGAAGACAAGACAAGACGCTTTTAGTGTTAAGATAGGAGTGCATCAAGGATCAGTGTTATCACCGTTTCTGTTTGCAATTGTGATGGATGTTGTGTGTGGAAACATAATGGAGGGGTTTTTATTTGAGATTTTGTATGCAGATGATTTAGTCTTGATGGCTGATAGCATGGAAGAATTGCAGTTAAAATTTGACAGATGGAAAAGTGTTATTGAAAAGAAAGGGTTAAAAGTTAATATTGGTAAGACGAAGGTAATGGTGAGTGGGGAAGGTGGGGAGCGAGTGATAAGTAAAATAGACCCCTGTGGGGTATGTGATAGGAGAGTGAAGGCTAACTCGGTATTGTGTATAGGATGTCAGAAATGGGTGCATAAGAGATGTAGTGGTGTGAGGGGGGCACTGAAAAAGGTGGAAGGCACGTTCAAATGTAAGAAATATGTTCATGGTGTGATTAATAGGACGGACGCAAGGACGGGGTTGAGAGGTGGTATTGAAAGAGTGGAAAGCTTTGTTTACTTAGGGGATAAGCTGAATGCGGATGGAGGATGTTTGAGCGCAGTTACGGCTAGAGTTCGTGTGGGATGGATGAAATTTAGAGAACTGGGTGGGGTATTGTGTGGAAAGAAATGGTCAGTGAAGATGAAAGGAAGGGTATATAAAGCATGTGTGAGAACAGCGATGGTATATGGTGGTGAAACTTGGGTGTTGAGGAGAGAGGAGGAAAGTGTACTGCAGAGGGCTGAAAGAGCTATGGTGAGGATGATGTGTGGGGTTAAAGTGAAGGATAGGAGGAGTAGTACAGAGCTGATGTCAATGATGGGACTGAATGAGGACATTGTGACATTGATAAGGAGATCGAGATTGCGGTGGTATGGACATGTGTTGAGAAGGGATGAAAGGGTCGGGATTAGGCGAGCGTTGGAGTTCGAGGTTGAAGGAGTGGTAGGAAGGGGTCGTCCGCGATTGGATGAGAGAGCAGGTGAGACAGGGTAAAAGCGGGGTTGCGTGATACTGAGGCGAGTGACAGATGTGGAGTGACAGACAGGAGGGGTATTTCGGTTTCATCATAGGTAGCCAAATGGCAACCCCCGATCTCGGGGAAAATGCCGTCTAAACGTGTGTTGTTGTGTTGTTACAAGAGAAGACAAGTTATAAAAAAACCAAAACAAAACAACCTTGTTATCGGTCATGTTAAATAAACAGTATTGTTTTTTCATCCACAAAACATAATTATGCCTTTTTGCATGGCAGCTTGGCGAAACAAGATCTACGTTTCCCGTTGGACAACCAAGATCATATTTTAAAATTGGTGACTGGAGTATCCAAGATTAAAATCAGACAAAGAAAATCTGTGCATGGAACGTACGGAGCATGCTAAATTTATGAAAGGTACAAATCCTACAACAGGAATAGGAAGGTTCCAAATGGACACGTGTCTGGCACAGTTATCTGAAAACCGTTAATGAGCATAAAATAATGCACTTAGGTCAGATAGAACATGGAAATAGCGAAGTGGTAGTGTGGTCAGACAAGATAATAGTAAAATCAGCATTCGAACACAGAAGACAATAATAGTTCAATATATTATTATAATCGCTGAAATGATCCAATTGAAATATATGATTAATTTCAATTAATTATTATTATCTTGATTATTCGTTGTTTTTATAGAACAGTAGACTATAAATTTCTGCATATAAGGCAGAGTGAGTAGCGAGGTTAAAAGCAAGTTTTGTAGAGAAGTCAATAGCAAGATTTGAAGCAAAGTTAAAGTTTTGATTTATTTAGTTACTTAGATTAGTGAACAATTTAGTGTTTCTATTAATGTTGGCATTCGAATATTTTATTGCCAAGATTGATGATATATTTGAAGAACTCAAGACAGTTAGCAAAATGTCCGAAATCTTTAGAAAAGACGGCTATAAAATTAGTATTTAGATCAATTCATTTAAATCAATTCAATTTCATTTGCAACAAATAACACATATTTGCAACACATAACACAATTGCCTAGTTAACAGAAAAGAGAAAAAAGTAGATTAACAAAGAAAGATACAAAAAATCAAAAGTAGAAAAAACTGTGACAAGCAGATAAATACAGATAGGTCCCATATGCAAAGAAGTGAAAATGCAAATAAAAAAGAAAACAATAAAAATATATGGAGCTATACAATCCATTGCAAGAAAGTTTCTACCCCATATACAATGTATCAAAGCCAAATCAGGTATCAAAATAAAAAAAAACCAATACAAAAATTGAGTGTGCAAAAGTAAGTAGTCTGTGCTGAAATGCCATTAATACATATGAAAATAAAAAAAATAAATTTTACCTTTTTGCAAAATGAAAAGCAAAATGTTAAAATGTTTTCATAATGTTCAAGCACTTTTAAATACCAGAATGGGTAAATTAAAAAATATGATATATAAGATAAAAAAGATATACTAAAATTATATTAAAACTAGATTTTATATACATGATGTTTTACTGTTATTTCATAATAATTTTATTACCAAATGAAATAAGTCAGTCATCTATTTATTTTGTTTAAATGTTTTAATAATTTTAATTAAAAACAGTGATTATTATATTATACTTACAGAATCTGCAATAGATTGAGCCATTTTTCTTAGCAAAGAAGATAAACAGATGCCATCTAATTTGACAATCATAATAGTGCATAAACTGGCTTAATAAAAAAAAATCAAAATAACAATAATAACAACTCAATCAATTCAATTCAATCAATAAAAGTTCAGCTGTTTTACAACAGTTTTACAACAGTTTTTCAAACATTCTCAATAAAATATTTCCATTTCAAGATATTTTGTTCATATTAAAAACAGGTGATTGAGAAATACAAATGTTATATTCAATTCACATTTATTGCCAGCCGATTAAAAATTAAACCAATAGGTTTCATTTAATATTCAATGACGTCAAAACATTTTAAAGAGCATTATATAAATAAAATTGTCCTAGGAGGCACACTCAGATTTTGAAGAAGTTAGAACCATAAGCCATAGTCCAAATTTTTTCTGATTTCAGAATAAGTATTGATATTTCACTTCAATAAATATAAATATTACTTTACATGCTCATGTTTCTTAGAAAATATATGTGTAATAGGATATGACTATCCACAATGGCAAAAAGGCCTAAATGAGTATTACTAAAAAAATGTGCTATGCAATCAACTTAATTTGTGCCATATTGTGTGCCCAGCATTATCTGTTGGGAGCAAAAACTTATATGATGCATGACATTGCACCTTAAAGCATGACCAGTGCTACAGAGGTTCAAGAGGATGTTGTTTATAGGATTATTAATATAGGAATCTAAGTAATAATTTTAAATTAAAAATACCTGCTTGTTTACAATTTCATTTTATTTTTAATTTAGGTTAATGTAGTTCAATCTTCTTTTTAAAATATATGGTAATCTTTTACTTTACGTTGGTATATCTTCAATGCATTCAAATCACCATTTATTTAAACAGAAAAGATCATTGGACACAAATTATGTGAAAAAGTGAATAGTTGTTGGCTAGAAGAAGTGGGTGAAGACGTTGTTCTTGCCGCATGAACAACGATATTGAAATTCTGTGAGGTACATTGGAAAGAGTTTCCTACATGTACCAAACTGATGATTCAATATTTACGGCCTGCTCTTATCCACATCTACAGAATGTCAATGTTATTCATATGGACATCAGGAATCCCAGGGTCAACAAAATTTTGTCCATGGTTTACAGCTGAATGATGGTAAATGCCATTGCCAATGTTTACTAAATTGCCATCCGTCAAATATGATGTGGCTTCTAGGTAGAACATTTTGACGTATCAGAGGCTCCAAAGTAGCAGCTGACCGGTTAACAATGGCTTTCAAAATACAATTACCCAATCCCTGCTCAATTGCACCAAATACGCAGTGGCCTTCACTAAACCCGCACGGTGATATTTTCTGTGAAAGTGCCTGCTTTTGTCTACCTTGACAATGATGGATTCACTCTTTTCATTGAAGCCGCCCAACTCCACAGGTGTTTGTTGTTGTAGGTATGAAGCGCTCGACAGAAATTATACCAGCCTACAACAATTTGTGCTCTACCAACAGATGGCTTGTGAGCAGCAACATCCTGTGGCCTGTCTCTGCACCAACAATAGACTAGCATCAAAATTTGTTCAAAGGACAGATGGCTCTTTTGAAAAATGACCCTACTCGAATACTGCGGTAGTACCGACAATCTTAACAGGCCCACTGCTTCCCATCTGTGAGACTGCTGCAAGCTTTCAATTTGAATGAACCATTACATATGCTACACAATAAAATATTCTTCAAAAGGTGTCTCCGAGCTAACCACTCCATTGCTTTCAGCATCACCAATTGCCAACTCTCCTGTACAATGGCTGCCTTAGTAGTCATTACGATTACTTCATCTGACGAAAGATACACATTTCCAGGCAATATACATATTTCCAGGTAGGCATCCAGACATTTTAATAAATTTTAAAAAATTATTATACTTTTTATTTACATTGCAGACAACTTCCTGCGTTGAAAATCTGTATTAGCCGATTAGGACTGGCATACAACATTGTCAATAAACCAACGTAAAGTGAAAGCTAACCAACAAATATATTTTGACTTTTGAGAAAACAACTTCATTTTACCAACTTACAACTTTGCTTTTATTAGTTAGTATAACTTTTAGTTGCACCGTGAAAGAAGTATTTTTTTTAAAATTTCATTATAAATCTAAACAAAAACCCTACTTTAACAACCGTGAAGTAAATATTTACGACCGTTTGAATATCATAAATAACGGGATTGAAGATTGCAACAAGCCACAGTAAGTATATATGCACAGTGAGACACGGCAGAAAAGAGAGAAAGCGTAAAATATATTTCGCACAGACAACTATGTGAAATATTGTACACATGCATACACGTAAAGTATATTTTAGCACAGACATAGATGTAAAATGTTTATAATAGGCTTATAGACAAATTCCTACTTATAAATTTTTTTTATATGAGATATATATATAGATATATAAATATATAGATAAATATATATATATATATATAATTTTTTTTACAATATTCTATAAATACTACCGAATGTTTGGCGTTAATATGTTTGTAGTTCGTTTTTTCGATTTTTCTCACTTGAGTTTTTTGGTGAAAGTTTAGTTTATTAAAATTCAAAATAAACTTGTTTTCCGAATTCATGCTGCAAATAAGGCCATATTTCGATTCCGAATGAATCATCATCAGTGCCATTTAGTTAATATAGGGAAATATTCACTTTTTCAAAGTGAACTTAGATGGAAATTTGGTGTCAGGTGTCTTTATTGGCTGGTCCATCTTTGTTGGTTTCCTTTTCTTCATCGATGGCATCATATTCTTCTTTGTCACTATTTACAATGCTAGTTTTTATTACTTCTTTGTTTTCATTGTTGATTAAGCGCCGGATTGGGAGTGAGGTTGCCGTTTTTTGTTGTATATTTATTTTTAGTTTATTGATGTCAATTAGGACTGCTTCTGCAATTTTAAGATGCGTGTAATTGCTGTTCTGGTATATTACTTTAGTGTTGCTGTCGAGAATTTCATGGCTAATAGTGATTGAGTGTGTTATTTTAAAATTTAATTAGTAGTTTTTTTTAATTAATTGGACATATCTTGGAAATTTTTATGTTTAAAAACACCCAAACCAAAATCTAATTTTGCTTTGATATAAAGTGAAAACAGGCCAGGGTTGTGCGAAAGCCGACCGACTGACTGACAGGCCCAGTGAAAACAGGCCTTGGATTCTGTGAAAACGAATCCGCCTCGTTGTTTTGTTTTTCTTGTGCTATTTGTGGACCTGGGGTTCTTTGCTGGATTCTATACTCATTGGTATAGTTTCGCACGCAGCTTGGAATTTCCATAGGCTCCGATTTTTGTAATTTTTCTGCATTCATTTTATTTATTTCTCGGAGTTGTATCGACACCACCATCGGTCACACACGTCGAGGTTGTACGATTGAACGGCAAGAAACATATTCCAAGTTGCCCGACCCAACAAGAAGAAGTTCTAATTCCTGTATTCCAGTTTGTTCATTGACATTATTTTTAACATTATTCTCGAGTTCAGTTAGTTCAATTCCTTTTCATTTACTTCCGTCGATTAATAAAATTGTTATCGAATATTTTACGCGTTCGTGTGTTACTCAGTAAAATCATATAATTCGAAAAAGCCCAGTGCCACACAGGACTGGCCGAACTCACGATAAAAATATACAAAAAATTATTGTCGGACCATAAAAAAAATTTCCTGAGAAAGATAGAGGAAGAGATTACCTCACTTCCAATTTCAATTTCCGACAATTGGCGCCCAACGTGGGGCCTCGAATAACAATTTTTCAAGTTATCGAGGTTTCCATTTTACTTTTAATTATTACTTCAGTTTTGGAAGTATCGAGTTTTTTTTACGATTGATTTACTGAGTAACTGGTTGTAAAATATAACAATTTTTCTTGTTTTTTGCATTTCTATTACATTATTGAGTAATTGCACACATTTGATATTTTGAGATAGTATTAAGATTTGTATTTGAGTTGCACTATGCCAAATCGCAAAACACATCCTAGGCAAAGTGAGATGCCAGATGAGGAAGCAAATGTAAATAATGGAATTTTCAGTAAAACTAAAGATTGGAAAGTTAGTAGATTTAATGGCTCAGAGGATATAACTGAGTATTTTTGTCAATTTGAAATCACCGCAAAAGTTAATAAATGGACATCACAAGAAAAAGCACTATCCCTTTTGCACGCACTAGATGGGAAAGCAAGAGGTATATTTCACGAATTGCCAGATATTGATACAATCACGTATAACGAGATTAAAGAGCTGTTGTTTAAACGATTTGGACCATCAAACTATTCAGAAACACACGAGTATAGTTTATCGCAGCTTAGATTACAAAAAGATTAGAACATTCGAGATGTGTCTCAGGAAGTTAAAAGACTATCAAGACTATCCTATCCAGAGTTAAGTAATGACATGAGAGAAAAGTTTGCAGTAAAACATTTAATTAATGCTATTGGTAATAAAGACATCATGTTCTATGTAAAAGACAAAGAACCAAGAGCATTAGATGAAGTATGTCAGCTATATGAGAAATATAAAGTTTTATCAGATGATGGCAAGAGAAATCATTCGAGATCTTTAGTTCAGATAGTTCAAGATAATGACGAGTTTGATGACAAGAAATCCAATGTTGTTAAACAAGATGATCCAATTACAAATATGAATAACAGAATAGAAAAATTGTTCAGCATGATTGATGAGATTAAACGAGATAAGTTTGAAAACAGAAATAACAGTCAGAGAAAAGATTTTAACAATAAGTTTGGAAATAATAATTTCATCAGAAACAACAGTGCGATTGACCAAAGAAAAAGTAGTTACCAGCAAAATAATAGAAACTTCAGTCAAGCGAACACTAATAACTTCAGGCAAAAAGTTGGTAGTTTTAAAAATACGACAAGATTAAATCGAAACGTACAAACAGTAAGAACACCCTCCAAATGTAACCATGATAAGGAAGCATTAGTTCATGTAGAAGCTGTATTTAGAACTAAACAGTTAAAATGTCTACTAGATAGTGGTGCAGATGTGAATCTTTGTCCAAAGAAGTTTGTTGATGATTTGAAAATTTTGAAAAGTTATAAGGAATTGTATGCAGTTAATAACATGGAGTTAATAGTAAACGGAACAATTACACTGCCATTAGAACTTAAGTATCAGAAGATTTTTACAACTTTCTATGTGTCACCAAACGTTGATCGTATAATTTTAGGGAAGAATTGGTTATATGATAACAATTGCATTTGGAATTTTGGAAGAAGTAGTATTGTAATAAACGGAAAAAGTTACAACCTCGTAAAATCTAGACAAGAAACAGATATAAGATACATTTCGAAAGTTACGGCTGTTATTCCACCCCGCAGTGAAATGTTCATTCAGACGTTTATAGAAAAATCAAATTTGAAGCCTTTAGGACAGGATACAGCATGGTCAACTAGCATAAATAAAATCAAAACCAATTTGATAACTGCAAGATCATTAATTGATGTCAATAAACCGTCTACGTATATTAGAGTATGTAACATATCAGATGAAAAAGTTGAAATACCTAAGGATCAAGTAATCACCAAATTACATGAAGTTGTTGTAGTTGATGATAAAATTCAAGAATCAAATAACAAACCTACCAAAGAATATGATGAGACTATAAACACAATAGTTGATGAGGTACATTCCAGTGTTCCAGATAATATTCTTAGTAACTTGAGAAAGTTGTTGTTGAAGTATAAAAATATTCTTTCATTAAGCGAGTTTGATTTAGGAAGAACTAATATAACGCAACATAAAATTGATACCGGAGCAAACAGATCATTTCGCCAAGCTTTAAGACCGCAACCTAGAGCACATCTACCAATCATTGACAATTTGTTAGAAGAGATGTTACAGCAAAAAGTTATAGAACCTTGTCGGCTTCTAATTTAGTATTAGTTAAAAAGAAAGATAATTCCTACAGATTCTGTGTAGATTATAGAAAGTTAAATGAAATAACGATTAAAGATGTGTATCCACTTCCTCGAATAGACTCATGTCTCGATTTGTTGTCTGGATCCCAATGGTTCAGTTCATTTGATTTAAGATCAGAATATCATCAGGTTGAAGTTCATCCTAAAGATAGAAATAAGACCACTTTTGTTTGTCATGGCGGTACCATACAAAAATAAACATACAAACGCTGATGGATAGTCGAGAGCAGTATGTGGTGTTATAACAGAAAATAAAGTAGATAACTGTGTTGATTGAGTTGCAGAACAAGAGAAAGACAAAGACCTATCCTTTATTAAAGACGTCATCAAACATTCAGTAGTACCAGATTTGAGTCAATTTGTTGATAAAGGAAAAGATGTTAAAATATTACTTGCACAGTATGACAACTTGTTTTTAACAGATAAAGGTGTATTGAAGAGACGAATTAACAATTTTGATCAGATAGTTGTTCCCTACACAATGCGGCAAGAAGTACTTAGAGATTTGCACAGTGGGATGAATGGAGCCCACCTAGGAATCAAAAAGCTAACATGGCAATTTGAAAGAAGATTTTATTGGCCTGGATGGAGGAAGGACTTTGAATTAACCCACAAATTAGGTGAACAATGTAGCAAATTTAACCGACAAAAACATTTTAAACAAAGTGAATTACAGCCAATGTTGGTCGGTGAGCCGTGGGAAAGATTAGGAGTCGACATAACAGGGCCACACCCAGAGTCAAGTAAGAAGCATAAATACATCTTAATTGTCATCGATTATTTCACGAAGTGGACAGAAGCTATTCCTTTGAAACGCGTAGATGCATCTTATGTTGCTCATAAATTAATTCAAAATGTATTTTGTAGATACGGACTACCAAAACAGATACTAACTGATCAAGGTAAGAATTTTGAATCTCAGTTATTTAAAGATATCTGTGAACAACTTGGCGTAGATAAAATCCGTACCACTACCTATAAACCCTCAACGAATGGTCTGGTAGAAAGATTCCATGGAACACTCAATAAAATGATAGGAAAAGTGATAAATAAGAATCATCGAGATTGGGACGAGATTCTTCCATACGTAATGTTTGCATACCGAACAACAGTGCAGAGTAGTACTGGATTTTCACCTTTTTTCCTAATGCATGGTAGAGAAGCGACAATACCGATTGATTTGGCGTATAACACGGAGAAGTCATCACCAAAGCAAATGTACGAATTTGTAAAGGAACAGAAAGAAAATTTAACACAAGCATTTGAATTAGTGCGAGATCATTTAAAGAGATCAGTAGAAATAACTAAGCATAATTATGACTTAAGAGTAAAGAATAAACAATTTTTAGAAGGACAAATGGTTTATTATTATAATCCAAAGCGCACTAAAAATAAGTATCCTAAGTGGACAATGACATTATATGACATGATTTCAAAGAAAATAAGTGATGTAAATTTTGAGATTAAGAAGTGTAATGGTTATAAAACCATTGTCGTACACATAAATAAATTGAAGCATGTATAAAAACAATGTTTTTGTTTCCTGTGTTTTGTTTAATTTTAATTTAATTCTGTTTGTTTTGTTGTATGCATATGCCATTATATAGAGACTTATTATTTAACATGTACAATTTTTCGGCAACTGGCACACAACGTATAAAATTGGTGTCGGATTGCAAATACATCATTCAATGGTACATCATACAATGAATCATTATTACGTTTATATACTCGTCTTACTTACTAAACTATCTTTCGTTAGTAAAAATAAAACAGACGCCATATTAAATTTTAAAAACTTTTATTGGAAATGAAGTAGTAAACAGTCTTTTTTAAATAAATTAAAAAAATTCAAAAGTAGGAATGTCTCCAAGTTCCCGGATTAGCGCCTGCACATCTGTCTTGTCCAACTCGAGAGTGATGAGTTCTTCCACAACGTCGTTGTTGAGATTGGGGACGACCCTCTGATCTTCTGCGCTTGGCCTCGCACTTTCGTTCTGTGCTGGCATGTCTGCTTTATTAGCCCTCCTCCCCATACAATTGTATTTCTTATATCTAAGCAGATGCCTAGGCCTTTGCGCCACAAATCCACACTCGCATATTTTTTTTGTCACTGGGGTTTTGTTTTTTTTCTTGATTCATATTTTATTCATACAGAAGAAAAACAAAACATGATTTTTGCAAGCGGACGAAATGCGTGCCTTCTATTCATTGGTTATGGCATTCCTTTCCTATAATCATGCGCGCAATTTTTTTTTCGTTTTGTTATATTTTTTTATTTATTTTTTATTTTATTTTTTTTCGTTTATTTTTTTATTTTCGTTTTTATTTTTTTTTAACCAGAAAGAGGGGGGTGTGGAAAGTGTCAGAATTATGAAATAATACTGACTAAAAATACTTCAAAGTCCTTCAATGCAAAATTAATTCACTCGATAGGTAGCTTGATCCAAAGTAATTCACTCGATAGGGGGGCTGCAAGTTAATTTACTCGACGATTTTTTATTTGTTTTGCAATTTAGATGACGTCACAAATTATTACAAATTATTTTAAAATTTAATTAGTAGTTTTTTTTAATTAATTGGACATACCTTGGAAATTTTTATGTTTAAAAACACCCGAAACAAAATCTAATATTGCTTTGATATAGAGTTTCTTTATTTTTAAGTTTTGGAGGAAGGAGGGAGTACGCACTGGGTTGACTAGTTAGGCAGCCTTGAGTAGTCGGTGCCTATTCTGGTCTCTAAGAGACTTAATTTGATATTCTATGCTCATTGGCACGGAAACGTCTTCGCCTTGGGTTCACCAGTTAGGCAGCTTCGAGTAATCGGTGCCTATTCTGGTATCTAAGAAACTTAATTCGTGATTCTATGCTCATTGGCATAGTTTCAGAAACGTCTTAAGTTCTCAAAAGTGGATTTGGTACGAGACTCCATGCTCATTGGCATAGTTTCGCACGCGTACTAAAGTCACACAATTTGTTTCCAGTGTTGTTCTGACTCTTGTTGTTTTGTGTTGGTTGTGCAAAAGCCAACCAGACTCGACGGCCCAGTGAAAACAGGCCAGGGTTGTGCGAAAGCCGACCGACTGACTGACAGGCCCAGTGAAAACAGGCCCTTGGTTGTGCGAAAACCAGCCAGACTCGACGGCCCAGTGAAAACAGGCCAGGGTTGTGCGAAAGCCGACCTACTGACTGACAGGCCCAGTGAAAACAGGCCTTGGATTCTGTGAAAACGAATCCGCCTCGTTGTTTTGTTTTTCTTGTGCTATTTGTGGACCTGGGGTTCTTTGCTGGATTCTATACTCATTGGTATAGTTTCGCACGCAGCTTGGAATTTCCATAGGCTCCGATTTTTGTAATTTTTCTGCATTCATTTTATTTATTTCTCGGAGTTGTATCGACACCACCATCGGTCACACACGTCGAGGTTGTACGATTGAACGGCAAGAAACATATTCCAAGTTGCCCGACCCAACAAGAAGTTCTAATTCCTGTATTCCAGTTTGTTCATTGACATTATTTTTAACATTATTCTCGAGTTCAGTTAGTTCAATTCCTTTTCATTTACTTCCGTCGATTAATAAAATTGTTATGGAATATTTTTCGCGTTCGTGTGTTACTCAGTAAAATCATATAATTCGAAAAAGCCCAGTGCCACACAGAACTGGTCGAACTCACGATAAAAATATACAAAAAATTATTGTCGGACCATAAAAAAAATTCCCTGAGAAAGATAGAGGAAGAGATTACCTCACTTCCAGTTCAAATTTCCGACAATATATATATATATTTCAAAAATTCAACACTACTTTCAACATTGTTCATTTTATATTTCTTTTTAATTTATTATTGTCAGAAAAATTAGACATTTTATTGTTTTAAAAATTTTATTAAATATTTATTTATTTAATATATTTATTAAATTTATTTATTCAACTTTTTTATATTTTTTTTTATTTATTAATGTCAGAAAAATTTAATAAAATTTTTAAAACAATAAAATGTCTAATTTTTCTGACATTAATAAATTAAAAAAAAATGTAAAAAGTTGAACAATGTTGAAAGTAGTGTTAAATTTTTGAAATGTTGCGTTAACAACAGTCTGTTACCAAAATATATATATATATATTTACTGCAACGCCTGTCGTAAAATAGCTTTATCTAATGATTTATTCTCCGCTGCTAAATAACAGCGACATCGTCATCTGTAAATCCGATAAATCTAATAAGAACCGAACTGACTACAACACCCAAATTCACAACATGCTGTCTGACACAACAAAATTCAAGCGTATTAGTAAAGATCAACAACATCCATTAAAACATCTACCAATAAACTTATTGCCCAAGTTAACCTACAATCAGTCTCGCTTAAGCTCACTCCAATAGTGGGTGATTACAACCCTGGTTATATCTACGGCAACGTAAAGACTCACAAACCAAATAACCCACTGCGACCCATCATATCACTGTGTCCCACACCAACATATCAGTTAGCGAAGTCGCTCAACAAACTTCTTCAGCCATATGTCCCTCGTACCTTCTCCGTAAATCAAGCTTCGAATTCATCGAGATTATTAACGATAACAAGCGGTGCACAGGTCATATGGCTTCGTTGGATGTTGGGAGCCTATTTATTAACGTTCCCATAGAATATACAATCGACATCATTTGCAAGAACGTGTATAACCATCCCACACTTCCACAACTCGATATCCCTCCAGTTTATTGGTCGAACTTCTGAAGTCATGTACCGTCGAAAGCCCTTTCGTCGCTCCAGACGGCTCTCTTTACTTTCAGGTCGATGGCGTTGCCATGGGCTCTCCTCTTGGACCCCTTTTTGCTGAGTTCTATATGCCCGACCTCGAGGTTAAGATATTTAACGACTTGACAAATAAACCATCAATATATGCGCGCTACGTAGACGACATCTTCATCATCTCTCTAACCATCACCTATATATACAATCTACAAAATATATTTCAAAATAATTCTCACCTAAAATTTACAATAGAATTGAGTGTTGACAAACGTCTTGCGTTCCTTGACTGTTTGGTAGAACAGACAGTTACTCACCAAAGTGTACGTCAAACCTTCCAACTCTGGTCAGGTCCTAAACAACACATCCGACTGCCCTACACGTTACAAAAACAACGTTGTTTACAACTTCATTCACAGGGCATACAAAATTTCTTCAGACAACGATATTTTTAACGTCGAATTAGCCCGCATCAAACAATTTCTGATCAACAACTACCCAAACAAAATAGTCGACGACACAATCAAAAAATATCTCCTAAAAGTCAACAGTAATCCACTCACGCAAAAATCTCAAGAAGTATTAACTAAAATAGTTCTACCATTATATTACATATTATAACTATAGAGTCGATGAATCGCAAATTAAACGCATCATTCAAAACAATATTACCGTCTGTGATAACAACAAGCGTCTACAACTCATCATTTATTATAACACAAATCGCTCATCAAACATCGTTATAAAAAACAACAATAACCCACCATTACCTGCGTTGGAGAGGACAAACGTTGTGTACCGTTTTACGTGTCCTGTGCCACACTGCGTTGTGGATAACTACATCGGTCACACTCGTACTACTCTCTCCCGCAGGCTCACCTTACATGTACAGGACGGTGGCATTAAGAACCATATGTTTAATGCGCACCGTACGAACCTCACGCGAGCCATACTTGATGCGAATACCAAGATACTCGACACAGAAACCCACCCGGGTAGGTTGAAAATCCGTGAGGCCCTGCACATAAACAAATGTAAACCAGCCATGAACAAACAAACCAATAGATTCGACCACACTCTCCAGCTATTCTCCCAATATAGTGATTCGACGCCGACGTTCCCCGTCAGAAACAATCCACAGCAGGTGACGGTACCACAACGATACGAATATCGTTCCACAATCGACAAACTCCAACCTGCCAATACGCAGTTTGTCACTAATCGTCGTAAATCCTACGTCGTCGCGTCACTCACTACCTTATGTGATAATTAATATCCATGCCTTGCTTCATTTACAATCAATAATTAACATCACTTGCATTACTATTCCACCTATTCACACGTTAGCATAATATATTTATTCATATACACTCGTACCATCCGACCACTCCGCACACGTTTCGTTGTCATTCCAAATTTGCAATATCGATATTCGTACTTCTACCTTCACTTCCAGTATTTAACTTTTGAAATTCATTTGTATATTGTATATTTTATTATCAGTTATCTTAACATTTAATTTATTTCATTGGCAAGTTAAGTACCTTTACTCAAATTTCGTATACTTTTTACCTTAATTTTAATTTAATTTCCTTAATCATTTTACGCTTATATTTTCCCAATTTGGTTCGTTTATTCTTCTTGATTTTACAATTTTAAATATTCAATTCATATTTAATAATTTAAACGTAGGCTCTGATGATGACATACACTGTCGAAACGACGTCGTCAGCCGTTCGAAATGCTTGACGAGTTTATAAAATTGAGTTACAACAATTGCGTCTTATTGAACAAACCCAAAAGAAATTAATTAATACAGAATGGGCAAGAACATTCAACCAAATTTGTTATAACGAAAACAAACCTTGTGCCAAACTACACACACACACACACACACACACACACACACACACACACACACACACACACACACACACACACATACAATATATATATATATATATATATATATATATATATATATATATATATATATATATATATATTGATATATACGCTTTACGCTTCTCTAATTCTTGCTGCATTATATTTTCTCCGTTTAAAAGTTTAATTTAAAGCTGTTTTTTGCTGTTTTTTCGTTTCGGAAGTTTAAAATTTGTTTTAGTTTATTTTCAGGATTGTATTTAATATAATTTTAGTTTCAAATATTTGTTAATTTTCGTTATTTATTGGTTTGTTTGAAAATTTGTTGAAAAGTTGTATTGTCACGTGACATTCTTACATATACAATCTGTATATACATACGCTAAAGAGTTGTTTCTAGTTGAGATAGTTGTTGTTTTCTGTTTCAAGCTCACTTGGACAATGAACAAACACAACAATCAAATTAATATGGCTTCAAAATGTACAAAAACAAAATGTGTGAAATCAGGTAAAGAATATTTGCAATGCATTCAATGTTTTCAGTGTGAAAATAGTTTTCACATAAAATGGTTTGGTTTGAGTGATGAAGCTATTGAAGTGACACGTAGTTTCGATAGTTTTAAATGGTTTTGTAATATTTGTCTGAAGAAGTTATGCAAAGTTAAAACACTCTCTAAAATGGTCAGTGACAACAATGATGAAATCAACTTAAAAGTCGAAAAAAATGAAATGAACGGTTTGCTAAAAAATGAACTTAAATTGATAAAAGAGATGTTGAACAATAACAGTGCAAAATTAGATAACCTTGATAGGCCTGATAGCAAGTTATCTGCCGAGATCAGCACATTCAAAAGTGATTTGAAATCTTCTTTGCTACTGTTGTTGGCCAAGAAGTGAAGAAAAACATTGAGTGTGTCAATCTGGAAGTTAAAACGGTTAAAAGAAAATTAAATGAGTCAATCGATATAAAAGACAGAGAAAGAAATATAATAATTTACAATTTACAAGAAGGTGAAGATGATAAAATTCGTGTTAAAAATATTTTGCTAAAATTGTCTGATGATATGAAAGATTCCCATATAAAATATGTTATATGACTTGGAAAGAAAAATGAATCATCCATGTGTCCAATATTGATAGTGTTGGATAGTTTGATGTCTAAAGAGACTCTGATGAGAAATGCACACAAATTGAAATTAATGTCGGTTGAACTGAGTAAAGTCTGGATTAGCAATGACCTGACATCTGGGCAGAGAAGTGAATTAAAGAAACTGGTAGCTGATGCAAAATCGATAGAACGGCAAGCAAAGACAATTTTTTATACAGAGTCAGAGGTTCTGTGGGAAGATGGCAGGTTGTGAAGTTCAGAAATTAACTGATGAGGGTGTTGTTGACGGGAGGGCCAGTCGGAAGATGATTCATGCTACAGCTCAAAAATTAACCATGAAAAATTACAATGATTTAAAAATTGGCCTGGGGCTCCTCAACATAAGATCTATAATGTCAAAGTATGAAATGGTCTGTGATATAATTTGTGGAGTATTGGATATCCTTGTATTAAGCGAAACTTGGTATGGGTTGTCAGATGAGTTTGCTGTTCGATGCGCGATGAGGGGGGGTTATAAGTTTGTAGATTACGTTAGACCTCACGATCCATATCATGGCGGAATTATAATTTATTTCAAGAAATTATAATTATAATCTATTTTATTTATAAACCTGTTGAATTACCCGCCGTGATAACTTTTGAAGCTGTTGCAATTAAATTGAGAGTAAACAAATCTGATTTTATTTTGTTATCAATTTATAGACCTGGATCGGTTCCTCCTTCACCATCGTTCTTTTCAGAGCTAGCGAATGTTTTAGAAATTTTATCGCTGTTATGTGGTAAAATCGTTGTTGCGGGAGATTTTAATGTTCATATGGAAAGGAAAGATGATCCAAACACAGTCTCATTGAATGATGTTTTCGATTATTTTCAGTTGGTTAACAGAATTAACGAACCAACGCATGAATTAGGTGGTGTTTTGGACTTGATCGTTGCTTCTCGCTCTTTTCCTATCTTTAATAGTTTGATTTTTCCCAGTGGAGTGTTATCAGATCATGGATTAATCCAGGTTTGTTTGTCAATCAATCAAGTTATAGGTACGAGAAGTAAAAAAATGGTTCGACCCTGGCGACGCATAAATAAAGAAAATCTTGCATTGTTAATTTCGAAATCCCCGATTGGAGGGCCATGCCAAGATGATAATATAGAAACGCTGTTAGAGATTTTTGTAAATGAACTGAGGAGAATTGCAGACATAATAGCTCCAGAACACGGGAAAAATGCTCTGCGATAAAAAAAATATTTTATTCGCCCAGAAAAAAATTTGTTTTGGAAAAAAATCATTTTTGAAAATAACAGAAATCCTAAAAAAATTTGGACTGTGATAAATAAACAAGGAAAAAACTTCTTCAAATTCATCTACCAATTTTGAAGCGAACGATTGTGCTACATTCTTTTATGACAAAATTAAAAATGTACGAGAATCGATGGTGTATGATGAGAAGTTTAATCATTCATCTGGTGTCTGCTGCAGCAACTTGTTTTCAGTTTTTCCTGTTTATGGTAAAAGTGAAATTGTTGAAGCAGTTTTGAACTCTCCATCTAAAACATGTTCACTGAATTGTGTTCCTTCACACTTTTTCAAAAAATATGTAGGATTGTTTTCAAAATATTTGATTGATTTTATAAACTTATGTTTACGTACCGGTGAGTTTCCGGCTATGTTAAAGCATGCTACAATTTCTCCTTTTTGAAAAAGGAAAAATTAGACAATTCTGATCATAATAATTATAGACCGGTTTCAAATCTGTCGTTCTTGTCAAAATTGAAAGATTAGTTTCTAAGAAGTAGGGTGTCCCAGAAATGCACGAAAATTTTTTTAAAAATAGTTGATGTCTCACCCTCTGAAAAGTGTCTCTTGGGTACAATAATTAAATTGGTAAATTTACAGCTCATTTGAACAAGTTTGAGAGAGATGAAACACTTAGATAAAAACAATTTGTTACCGGTATATCAATCAGGTTATAGAAGACATCATTCTACCGAAACTGTTTTGTTGCATGTGTTATCTAAGTTTTAAAAAATATAAACTACAGCAAACCATCTCTTCTTGTATTCTTAGATATGAGTTCGGCATTTGACTGTGTGGACCATTGCATTCTTCTGAAACGTCTTAATCATAGATTTGGAATAACTGGTTCTGTCGAACAATGGTTTCGGTCATACTTAACAGACAGAACTCAGCAAGTAATCTACAAAAATAAAACCTCTTCGGTTCAAACGATAAGATTTGGTGTTCCACAGAGCTCGGTTCTCGGACCAATCTTTGTTTATACTTTAAACCTCTGACAGATTAAATTTAAGTTTTTGTTTGAGTTGAAATTATTTGGATATTTTGAATATTTCTTAAGTTTTACGTTTGACAGATTAAATTTAAGTTTTGTTTGAGTTGAAATTATTTGGATATTTTGAATATTTCTTCTAGCTCTTAGTTAATATTGGTTATTATGCTTTAATTGTTGTTTCTCTTTTTCAGGTACGACATTTACTTAATTAAGGCTAAATTGATTTAATTAATTTATTATTTTTTAATAATAAAATCGTTTCTCTATTTAGTTGTTATATGCCGAACTCAATTATACACATATATATATATATATATATATATATATATATATATATATATATATATATATATATACATATAATCTAACAATCGAACAATATATACATATTTATACACGTGTATATATATATAAAGTTAGATATAAATTTATATATAAATATATATATATATTTTGTATATATATATATTTTATATTATATATAAATATGCATATATATATATATATATAAATTTATATATATTTAACTTTGTGTATATATAAACATGTATATATATATATATATATATTATATTTAAAAATATATATGTATATTTACATACATATAGATATTTATATATTATTATTATTAGGTAGATTTATATAGGCCCTTTCATCAAATCTCAAAGGCGCTGAAACAAATCACAAGGAAACAACAACAAAGGCGCTCATTGCGCAAACAGAAATGTTTTTAGCTCCCTCCTGAAAGATAAAATTGAATGCCCCGAAGCACGCAGTTCCAAAAGCAGGCTATTCCATACAGATGGCCCAACGACTGAAAAATTTCTTGAACCTGTAACAAGATTTGTTGGTGCCACAAAAAGTAAGTCACGATCATTAGAACGCAACTTGTAGGAATGCTCTGGAACAAGGCGTGCAGGGCACCTATCAATTAGGAAGCCAGGTGCAATACCATTCAAGCATTTGAACATAAGCATAGCAATTTTAAAAGTAATACGTTTTCTAACAGGCAGCCAGTGTAAGTTGCTCAAAATGGGGCTGACATGACCAGAAGACCTAGAACGTCCAGAACCAAGTTTAGCAGCTCTATTCTGAATGGACTGCAACATCTGAATAACTCTGTGACAGTCCATAGAATAGGCTATTACAATAATCCACTTTAGAATGTATAAAAGCATGGACCAAACAACTCAGTGTATGAACATCAAGTAAATGTTTTACTGAATTCAACAACCTTAGTTGATTTGAACATTTTTTAGCAAGACGCTTAATATGTGGCTCCATAGACATATTTGTGTCAAATATCATACCCAGATTACTAGCACTCATACAAAAATCAATACGTATCCCTTCCAAAAATAAACCCTTAATTACAATTCTAGACAACTACTGCCATGTGCCAATGGGCAAAATTTGTGTTTCACTATTATTTAATTTCAAGCGATTAGATGACATCCATTTACTAACATCTGACAAGCAAAGAACAAGATTATCCAACAACTCAGCAAAACCAGAATGAGAACAACTAGCTAATATTTAGACATCATCAGAAAAAGCTTGACATTTAAAACCATGCCTATTAACAACTTCAAAAAGATCAGACACATACAACAAGAACAGCAACGGACCCAACACAGATCCATGAGGAACACCAAACGACAATCTTTCAACATCAGATACTTCACTACTGAACAAAAATTGCTGAGTACGATCACACAAGTAAGATTTCAAACAAGAAAGGACGATATCCAAAAAACCAAATAAATGCTGTAATTTATCAATTAAAATCACATGATCGACACAATCAAAAGCCGCACTTCAAGCAGAACAAGGAGCAAAATCTTTTGTTCATTAATTGCCATAAACAATTCTGAAGCCAAATTGATGAGTGCAGTTTCAGTCGAATGGAATCGCCGATAACCAGATTGGCAAGACGGAAGAAGACCATTACCAAATAGCAAAGCAACTGCTTGTTGAAAATTTTCTCAATAATTTTAACCAAAAACGGTAGGTTAGAGACCGGGCGATAGTTAGCCAATGTGCTTTTATCAAGGCTAGGTTTTTTCAGAGTTGGGATGACCACAGCATTTTCAGTAAGGAGGGAAACTAGCCAGAGCTAAGGGATAGATTGACAATATGCAATAAAAATGGAATGAATAAGTCAATATATTTCTTAAAAACATGGGGTGGCACCAAATCAAGCAAAGAACAGATTGCATTGAATCCCTCATGAAAGAAATTTTGTTGTAAAAGAATTTAGACAAATCATGAACCGAAACATCAACGCCAGACACCGCAGAATTCACAACAGACTTTTTACAAAAAATTTTGTTAACAGTGGACCAGTTTTTTTGGCTGATTCAAATGCAGACAAACCTGATTAGACCAATAATCATTTTTGTTAACAAAGGACCAGTTTTTTTGACTGATTCAAATGCAGACAAACCTGATTAGACCAATAATCATTTTTCTTTTGTAGCAAATAACTTTGATTTCTCAGTAAACGCCAGTATCAATAAATGTTTATCAGACTGACTCTTAAGTGATCTCTCAATTTGCCGACACTTAATTTTTAAATTTCATGGGACCGCAGGAACAAAACGATAATGAAGAAGCCTAAGAGGAGCTGCTCGATCAGCAATTTTAAGAAACTCGTTAGTGAATATTTGCAATGATTGATTTACATTCAAACTTTCCGATAAGTGAAGAAACGATGAATTAACGATAAGTGAAGAAAATTTGACTCCGTCAATGTGGTGCCATGAGCGAACCATTTTATTCACAAAAAATGCTGATTACTACAAAGAGGGAATGATATTTTAATAAAACCATGATCTGAAATTACGCCCACTGGATCAATATCACATGACAATGGCTTTAAGCAGTCAGAAGATACCACCAAATCTAATATACCCCCTAATTTATGGGTGGGTGAATTAATTCTATTGTCTAAATTAAATGAAGAAAAAATATCAAAAAACTTGACAGTATTTAGATCATCACATTTCTCAACATGTATGTTGAAATCACCGGCAGTAATGATATTGTCAGCCAAAAGAAAAATGTCATCAAGCAACAATGATAATTTATCAAAAAATAATGATGAAATAGCCCTAGACCCAGGGCGATATATTGCCAGAAAAATGACTGATGTATTTCTAAAGACAAATTTGATAAAACCAACCTCAAATGTATGAAAAACAGCTAACTCAACTTTTTTTGGCTCTAAAAGAACTTTAAAAAAAAACAATAATACCACCATGATACCGATATCTCAAAAAATCAATATAAGAATAATTGAG